TTACTTTTTTGTTCAATTTTATTATAACTGATGATATAGGCAATTCTTTTTAAGATAACAAGAGGCATTATGGTAACCATTGTTGATCACCTTGTATTTTGTTTTTACATTATGTATTATGTCCACCCTTTTGATTTGACCAACTCTGTCCTGGTATGTAACATTTGGTTTTACTTTCTTCAAAAAAAAGTAATAAGAACTGTGGGAGTAATAAAACCCAAAATGTGTAATTGTCATTGTACAAAAGAAAGGAAAGAAAGTTCTCTAAAAGATATAACTGCATATATATTTAAGTGTATAAGATAGATAACCATATTACTGAGTTTTGTTGGATCATTGAACAAAACTGTTTGCACTCTATTTGAAAACCCCCTCTATATGCTTTAATTTTGTAACTTCAACAATTATTTCTAAGATGACAATATGTAATTAACTAGTGATTTCCTATTGTTTATTTTTTCTGAAATTCTGTATAACTTGTACTCTTTTTCTGTTTTTTTTCTTTTTTCTCCTTAAATAAAATTTTTAAAAAAAGAGTTTCAGCACACAACTGCAATTTCTAGAGAAGTTCAGCCAGAGAGAGACAGAGAGAGAGAGAGACAGAGACAGAGAGAGAGACAGAGAGAGAGAGAGAGAGAGAGAGAGAGAGAGAAGATGGAGACAGAGAGACAGAGACAAAGACTGTGAGAGACAGAAACAGTGACAATGATGGAAGCCACACTGGAGGAAAAGTATACACCTAACAAAAATACAAAAATGAAAATGTCATACTACAACAATGTATGTGCCCCCATGTTTACAGCAGCACAATTTAAATGCCAATCAACTGCAGAATAGAGAAAAAGATGTGTTATTTTTATACAATGGAATATTCCTCAGCTATTTAGAAAGATAATTTTGAAGCTTTTTATAGGTAGATGGAATAACTTGAGACCATGCTTATAAGTGAAATAAAACAAACTCACATGTGTAAATACCACACTGTCTCTATAGTGTTATAAACAAAACCTGAAAGAGTAATAAGATCCAAAATGTACAATAGATAAAGTGATAATGAGAGGATAAGAAAGTGCCCGAAAGGGAATACCAACCGGGAAAGGGGAAAGGAGAAAAGGAAGAAATTCTATGTATGTAGGTATATACATATAACTGGATGTATGTAATGTATGCAAGATAGATACTATATTACCAATTGCTGTCAGCTTGTACTGTCATTGTTTGATTGTTTAATCCTTTTTTGCCTAGATTTTGTAACCTGAACAACTATTTCTGAGATAACAATATACAATATATTAACTAGTGTTAATTTCTTACTATTTTTAAAATTCTGTATCATTTTCATCCTTTTATTTGTTTTGCTTTTTGAAATAAAAATAATTCTAGATTGTGGCTATGTCATGAAGTGCATTGCTTCATACTAATTACATAAATAGGTTGCATAATTAAAGGTCATGTACATTAAAGGTCACACTATCTGGAAAAATCAGTTCACACTTCAGGAAACACCTATGATAACAATGATTTCAATGTAAAATTATCACTAAAATGGTAGCCATCACCCCATGCAGCAAGATTTCTGCAGCCTAACTGCCATCCAGAATGTCAATGGAAATTACTCCACACTGAGAGCTGTTCAATGTGCCTCACAGCAAGAGAGTTTTATAATATTGTTTTAAGATTTTTCATTATTGAATACTGTTTTATTCCAGTAGCAGAATATTTCAATACTATGACACTGGAAGAACACTGTGACATATGTGTTTTTTATGCTTTTCATCAATGTCTGAACATGATATTTCATGAATTCATCTCCTACTCTCAAAACATCTTTTGACTTTTCATGCAAGTGCTAGGACTGAACCTAGGAACTCACAAATGATAACCACACACTGACCGCTGAGACAAACCACCCACCTTCTTTCTTTTGATTTTAACACTTTCTTGGATTTCTTATTTATTGTGACTCTAACCAGTAACATTCACTCAAGTAAAAAAGTCTTTCCCATTTTTATAGTATGTATAAATGATACGAAAACAAAGACATACATATTTCATACCCTAGTAACTTAATAATTTCGCTGTTTAAATCAATGGGTAGAAAACATTCTGAAACCGCACATTTAGATAAAATTAGCAAAAGGTAATGCCATTTTAACTAGCCTTAAGTGCCCAAGAGAGAGAATTAGCTTTCCCCAGAGGATTCGTCAAGCAAAACCATGACCTAACAGCACACTGTTTTAAGGGGAGCTCACAGTGACAAAGGGGAGGAAGCACCAGATACTGACAGGGAGGTTAAATAAAGCCAGGGCAGGACCAGACCAGCCTGAAAGACAGACAGGAAGCAGGAGAAACATGAGACAGTCCGGAGCCTGCAGAGACAGAGTCTACTCAAGCAGAGTGAATGCAAAGTGCAAAACCCTCGCCAGGAATAAAGAGGTAAGCAAACCGGGAACAGAGAGACAGGGAATATCGGTCAAAGTAAAGTAATTTAAATGACAAAAATTATGAAATAACAGGAATGGGAAGGCAAGGCCAAAGTAAGAGAATGTGGCCATTAGAGCAGAAAGAATTGAAGCAGAGTGACCATTGCTTCCCCAAGTACAAACCAGCACACAAGTTGGATCTACCATCACACCTGGGCACCGCTGCAAACCTCCCATGAAGCAGGAACACTATACATGCAGGGATTTTGAGTGCTGCTATCTCTGTGAAACAAATTTTATACACTTGAGATTTGAAAACACCACCCGTGAGAAATTTAACTTGCATAGTACATTAACTCAGTACATTGTCTAAAACTCAAACTATTTTTTATAAAGCAAAGTAGTTCAAAAATGAAATGGTAACTTCTTTAAAGCTGAGAAGCCAAAACACACCTTCCTCTGATTTCTTTAGGCTCGTGTTAAGCTGTGAGCATGGTCTCTACAATGCACTGCAGATTCAGATGCACATCACTGAAGACTGGGAATCTTTTAGACACGGGCACGCATACAACAATGCAAACCTGCTGACTTACCACAGTGCCAAATCTGCAGTTAAACCTGAAAGCAGAGGATTTAGTTCAGAAAAAACGCCATGGCGGCTTCTTTTGTGTGCAGACAGAGAGGCACCGTGGACTCACCACCATGGGTACAGAGCAGAACACAGACTTCACACAGTGTCCTCATCATGCACAGCACACAGCTGTTAGTTCACAGGATCTGAGAGACCCAGCAGCTTAACTGAATGTAAAATGAAAAATGTCTTTTATTCAAAGGCAAATATCCTACTTATTAGACAGTTTTCATTCATCAAAGTTGCGTCTTAGACTTTGAAACTGGGAAATAATAAATATAATTATTTCACTCACATTATTCATAAAGTTAGGATAGAATCACTTCACACTAGTGGATATTAAAATTTCTCTTACCAGTGATTTCTACTGGAACATAAATTATTTTTTTGAACCTGAGGAACATGAGAAGCTCCAAAGACTCCAGAATATTGAGTCTGTCCACACTTAACGAATACAAAGAGCAAAACCCTCACTTTGAGCAATGAGGTAACCAAATGAGAAAAAAGAGCCCAGGAATAATACCATTCGAAACACAGCATGCAGCCACCCAAAGGGAGCTACACACAGAGGTGGGAGGTGACTCAGCCTTCAGGACTGATGTACAACTCCTCTTGGGTGATTTTAGTTTCTTGGTCCATGTTCCTCTTCTGTAAACTAGGAGGGTCCCATTAGACCCAGCTAATAGTGGCTACCGGGCTACTCGCTGGGAAATCAGCAGTCACATAGCAGCTCCTTTGGAGAGGTTAAAGCAGCGCCCTTTGTCAAGGCTCATGCTGGCCCCCATCACAGACCAAGTTCACCAAGGAAAAGCACGGCACATTTATTTCATGTGAAGTTTATGACACAGGAGCCTCAGAAATAAAGACCTGAATACTGCATTGCCACGAACCTCTACACACAAGCAGGTCAGGGGCAGCAGGGAAAGGTCTAAGGTGCCAACCCACAAGCACACAGCAAGGCCAGCTGCTGGCTTCTTGTCATCTCTGAGTGACAATTCTCTGTGGATCCTGAATGACATCTGTCACCTAAGGTCTCCAGGGAGGTCTGAGGGTGACTTTTCATCTTTCTCTTGCCTTCAGGTTAGAATCCTTGGCGCACCGAGGTCACACACTGAGGGGTTTTGTGCTCTGAGCCCTGATGCGGCTGCTACTTTCATTGCCAGGCTGTGTTTACAGGAGGTTCTTTGGCTGCTGTTTAAAAAAAATAGACAGTCCTAAGGACATTCAACTTTGACTCGATGTTTGAGACTGGAAGGTGTGGTTAGGGACCAGTACCTCCTCATGAGTCATGCAAGTGCCCTAACACACTAGCTTTAAGAACTTGGGAAAGCCGCTACTGGGCAATTTTTGCTGAGCAGCATTTTTAGGTTTATTTCTTACTATTCTATGTCACCTGCAATGCCTAAGGCAACCTGTTTTTTCATTACAAGAATAATCTATGAACCTTTACTATAAGAAGGAAAGAAAAGGCCTCTTCTCACCATAGATCCACTGGCTGGAAATCTGCCAATTTCCAAACAAAGACAAATTTTCATGTTTTCCTTCAAGAGCCATGCAGAGACTGCTATAAAAGTCACAAACTGAGCCCACAAGAAATGCTTGTTCTCACGTGGGCTTAGACATCACCCAAGTCTGTGCTGCAGGAATGGAAGGAGACAGAGGGTCTGCACTGAACCCCGCATTCAATGTATAATGTTAGTATTGATGCGATCTTGCAAGATCATTGAAATATTTTGCACATTAGATTAATGAACTGTTATTTGGCTGTAGTAATATGGCACAGTGATGTATTAAAATGACTCTTGTTACCTGTACCTTGCTCCTTGCATAGAGAAGAAGATAACTTGATAACTACCAAACATTAATGGATTCATTCTCTGGACCTCCTGGGCCTCTGTGTAGCCACCTCACTGTAGGTGGCTGTGCCCTGGTGGCAGACCATCCCCATGCACCAAGGCAATGAGAGTCTGCCCCAGGACTTTCTCCTGCTGGGCTTCCCCGGGTCCCAGGGCCTGCATCTCTCTCTCTTTGTTCTGTTCCTGCTGATGTACCTCCTCACGGTGGGTGGCAATGTGGCCATCCTGCTGCTGGTGGTAAGCTCCCCCCAGCTCCACACCCCCATGTACTTCTTTCTGAGCAACCTCTCTTTCCTAGAGATCTGGTATACCACAGCAGCAGTCCCCAAAGCCCTGGCCATTCTGCTGGGGAAGGACCGGGCAATATCATTTGTGGGATGCCTCTTGCAGATGTACATGGTTTTCTCCTTAGGCTGTACAGAGTACTTCCTGCTGGCAGCCATGGCCTATGACCGCTACCTCGCCATCTGCTGCCCTCTGCACTATGGTGCCATCATGAGCAGCCTGCTATCTGCGCAGCTGGCACTGGGGTCCTGGGCCTGTGGTTTCCTGACCATTGCAGTACCCACTGCTCTCATCAGCACATTGTCCTTCTGTGGCCCTCGTGCCATCAATCACTTCTTCTGTGACATTGCCCCCTGGATCTCCCTAGCCTGCAGCAGCACCCAAGCAGTGGAGCTCGTGTCTTTTGGGATTGCATTCATGGTCATCTTAAGTTCTTGCCTCATCACCCTGGTGTCTTACGTCTACATCATCAACACCATCCTCAGGATCCCATCTGCCAATGGCCGAAGCAAAGCTTTCTCCACCTGCTCCTCCCACCTCACTGTGGTGCTAATCTGGTACGGATCCACCAGTTTCCTCCACATCCGCACCTCCATCACAGACGCTCTGGACCTGACCAAAGCGGTCCACGTCCTCAACACAGTGGTGACCCCAGTCCTGAACCCCTTCATCTATACACTCCGCAATAAGGAAGTGAGAGAAAGCCTGCTGAGGAAATGGAGAAGGAAGTAGATCTCTTCAGCACAGCAAAGTCTACAAACACTGTCCTTTATCTTCCCAGAGCTGCCAGCAAGACAGTCAAGGACCAGAGAAAACCTTTAATTCAGGGAAATGGGAAAAAATGGTAAAAAAAAAAAAATCCTTGAGGACTGAAAATAAACAAACAAAAAACTGGGCATCCTGACTCCATATTCCTGTACAAGAAATGTTTAATATAAGCAAAATTGACTTTTTAAGGAAAAAAAATATACAATGGTTTAAATGTAACTTTGACTTTATTTATAAAATTAGGGGCAAATAATAAGAAACACACTTTGCTGAAACTCCATTCTTGCCACTTTTAAAGATTTTTTTAATCATCTAAGTGAAGTTTTTAGATCTATATTCGGAATGTGAGGAAATAGAAACAGTTAAATACAAACATAACTGAGCATGGTGCACAGACTTCCTCACAGGAGCTCTGTGGGCACCATTGCTCTGCAGGTGGAGCTGATGGTTGGATTCTCTGGATTGCACTCCTTTCACAGGGAGTGAGAAACAGGCATCCCAGAAAGGATGAGAACAAGAAGACACTCAGGGCTGCACCAAGCTTTGTGGAACCTCTGGCATATGTGCTACCGCAGAGCAGATGCTGGGAGCTGAGCAACAGCTGCCGCCTAGACCTTGTTTGTGTATTTACTGGAGCCTGAGCTGGATTCAGAGCTGTAGTGTGGAAGCAGAAGGCCAGCAGCCTACAGTTTTGAAGAAAACAGAGCCGTTTCACTGGGACCGATACATATTAATTTCCAAAAGATCTGTTGCAGGTCTATTTCTACAAGAATCATGGTCAGTAATCATACAAACCAAAGGTACTTTAGTAAGAGAAAGCATGACATATTTGCTTAATCAAAGTTGTAAGTGTCATAGTGTGACTTCCTGGTATCTTATGAGGGTCATGGTTGCATCATCACATAGGAGGTGTGGCTCTTGTCACCAGGCAGACAGGGCTATGGAGCTCAGTTTGGTGCTTGAGCAGTCCAGGAGAAGAGGGTGACAGTGATGGAGTCTCCAAGACCAAAGTCTAATGGCCACAGGGAGTCAAGAGACAAGGACTGGGCTCCAGGTGCAATCCACAGCCTGAATATCAGTCCAGCCTGATTAGGGCACGAGTGTGGATGTCTTCTCTTTGCTCCAGGCCTTCCTGCTCAGCCTGTGCAAACGTTCTCCAAAACAGGACCCCCACCCTCCATATTGGAGCTCGGAGAGGGCAGGCACTGAAGAGTAGGCCCAGAAGGGACTGTGGGCCAGGACCCTTGGGGAGCCCTGTATCACATGCCAAAGATCACCAGGGCTGAGTTACCAACTGGAGAGTGACTATACCCAGACCAGGGTCACAGAGGTTGGCAGTCTGAACTCATACTACTTACATGGGCTTTTGCATGAGTAATACAAATCATCAGTTCCAGGAGGTGAACTGGAACCTACCTTGTGCTGTAGTGGAAAAATCAGAAATAAAGGTGACAACCTGGGGTTTCAGCTTGACATCTGACCTTAGAGCACTCTGCAGACTGAGGCCTTAGCCAGTAAGGTCTGCTAATTTCCAGGTAGAGAAATCAGAAGTATACAGCATCTCAGGAAACCCAGGTGATATCCAGAGAACAGGAGAAAACTGTGCCACTTCAGGAAGAGGTAGTCATTCCAAATTGTGTGTGTGTTTATCAAAACATCATATTTAAACCCAAAGTTGTATACAATTATCAGTGTCAATTAGGACAGTGGAAACTGGACCCAATTTGAGAAGCACCTGGTGCCCTGAAGTAAAATTATCTGAGTCAGAACATATAAAACAGCAATGAGTGTCTCTGAGTGTACACTAATATGAATAAATGGTTAAAAATATAAGCAAAGGATACAAATCCCCACAGGAGTATTCCCGATAATTCATGTCAATACTCTGACCTCAGAATACCATGCACAGCTCCCTTGCCTGTGATATACACACATAGCAAGTTCTCTGTAATCCTAGCTCATAAGGTGAGGAAAGGATCATCAGCAGGAAGTGGGAGTGGGGTTGGGGGGACACTGTCCCAGGAGTGGTCCCAGTCAAGGTCATCCCAGAACGTCTGTCGTGCATCCACGCCTCTGCATACAACATGACAAGAGGGAGAGTCCATCACTGATGAGGTTCTCCATCCCAGAACACACAACCCTTAGTCTAGTTCGTAGAAAAGTACATTACAAACCCCACTGGTAAATCATCACAGCCTAAAAGCAATTAAGGGGGCAGAGTAACTAACTGATGAAATGCTACTCTGGAAAAGAAGTTGGTAAAAAGCTAAGAAAATTTAAAAATAGATTTCACTTAGTTTAATAATTGTTTTTTTTTTATTATTTTCTTAGTGTTGGGGATCAAAGCCAGAGCTTCACACAGGTTAAGTAACAATTTTATAACTAGGCTACATCCCTGGACTTCTTTTATTTAATAATAATGTATACTAATACTGATTCATGAATTTCAACAAATGTGTCACACTAATGAAAGTTGAAAGTTGAGAAAATATACATAAAGTCAATGAGAATTCTCCAATTATAATGTTTTGTTGTCAAAAACTTCTCTGTACATTTTAAAAAAATTAAATTAAAAGCTAGGTATCCAGAACCTGCAAAGATTTTTATTTTTGGTTCATTGAATTCATCTTCTAGAAAATTAAACTGTTTGGCTATAAAACATTGTTTGCAAGTGTTATTTTTTATATGGATTAGTGAGTCTTTTGTTAACTTATTTGCTAATATGCTTGATATGCTTAAGATTCAATCAAATTTTTACTTTATGAATGAATATAAATAAAGAGCAGTTTTCTCAGTGTTTGTGTCTTATTTAAAACTCGCTATCAGCTTCATTGTTAGTACAATTAATCCAGTGTATTTTTGCTGTATAGTTATTCTCTAGTCAGAATTATGAAATTTCATCTATTCTATAAAGATATATTGTTATACGTTTCCTTATTTTTCAGAAAATATGTTATTAAAAATTTAACAATACAATGATATTAGCAAAAAAAAGAAAAAAAATATACACACAGTAAACAAGTACAGCACTATAAGACTCTCTGCTACATGGATATAAACCATTAAGTGGGCAAAATTGGTCCCCATAAATTTTGTTAAACTGTGGATTCCAGTCAAATTTACCAAACCCAGGTAAATGCTTCGTGAAGGAAGTTGTTCCCAGAGTTCCACAAGGAGGCATTGTGGCTGTTTGCTCGCTGACTACATACCTGTCTCCTCCTGGATGCCAGTGTGGGGATGGTGGCGCACTCTCCTGGTGCTCCTGCTCTGTGCTGGAGGAGACGAGTATGGTCTTTATTCTATAGGGTTGAAGTTCCAGCTCTGCTTTGCCTTCCAGATCCAGGAAACAGAGGACCTGGGCATTAGCTCAAGGGCTTCACCTCCACTGCTGGTAATGGAGCCATGGGTCATGAAGATGCTTAAAGAAACATCAAAAATGCAGGGACAACAAACGACATGAGACTGGAGAGATCCTAAGGCCTGAGATGTGTGGATAGAAACACTTAAGGGAAATGAGAACTTGGAAGCCTGGCGTGCACATTCCTGTGACTTTAGAGGCCACGTCCAAGTCAGTGATTGGAAACAAACTCTGAAAATAAGGAACAGAGCCCAAGGCTAACCCCAAACAGACACACTAGACTATTTAAAATGTCTTGCTTTCAACTGAATTACCAGACACAGAAAGGAACAGGAAACCATGACTTTTTTGCAGCAGAGAAAGAAAGCTACCTGCCGAAATTATGAGGAAGCCCAAGTACAGGACTTCTACAGGAACATTTAAAATTAACTGTTAAATATGTAAAAGAACTGAGGAAAGAGAGGGCAAAAACCTAAAATCAAATTCTAAAACTGCAAAGTAAAATAGCTGAAATAAAATTTTGCTAGAAAGATTAAATGTTAGAATTAAGTCATAAGGTGAAATTATTGATAAACTTAGAGAGAGGTCCTTTAAAACTATGCAAGCTAAAGATGCAGAAAAAGAAAATATAAAAAGATGTGAAGTGAATCTTAAGAGAACTTGGAAGCACTGTGAAGCATGTGTACATATGCATAGTGAAATTCAGTGCAGAGAAGACAGAAATAGGAACAGAAAGAATATTTGAAGGCAGAATGACTAAAAATGTTACATTTTTCTGGTGAATACATGAAATGAAGAACCTCATAAAGGACAAACTTATGAAGATACACCTGGGGACACATAATAATCAAACTGTCAAAATCCAAAGGCCAAGCCATAAAGAAGAGGTACTGTGATAGTCATGAGACCACAGCAACATCAGTATGTCTTTCCCAAAGAACATGAGTGAAATTCAAACTCGATAGCACAAATCTGGAGGACTCAGAAATATGCCAAAATACACCAATGCATTCTTTTTTCCCAAGTAGTATTTTTATATTTGTCATTAATTTTCCCCTCTTCCCAAGACTTCTCTTCTTCAATGGTCCTCACCTGACCCTGAGGAACATGAGTAGCTCAGTAAATAGAGGACACAAAGTAGGAGATGGCATGTTCTCTGCTAGTACACTCGGAGACAAGCCCCTTCCATACAGACAGACAATAGCCCCTGAGTGCAAAAGCCTCAGGAATGTTCAGGGATCATCCCAGTCAGGGACCACAGCAGAGGCAACTGAGCATCCTTGTCATGTGCCTGTTGAAATTCCCCTGTTAAAGTAGGGAAGGTTAAATAACATGTTCTCTAAAAACAGCAGCATTCAGTCCAGTGGATCAAAGTTGACATGGAAAGGAATTTTACAATATAGTTTAAAATGAATATAAAACATATCATAATCTACCAAATACTAGGAAGTTCAGAAAAAGCTTTGTTTCATCAGAAATTCATTGATAAAACAGCAGCAAACTAACAAAATCCAGTAATTCCACAACTGGTTACATAGCAAAGACATTTGCACTTTCATGTCACTTCAGTGTTATCCACCACAGCAAAGAAGTAACAGCGACCTGCATATCTCTCAGTGATCAAACAGATAAAGCAAATCTCACACACACAAACTCACAACACACACACATACACACGCAAAATGATGCACTATTTCTCTAGAT